TTTTAAATGGAATTCGAATCCGGCGGAAAATGTAACTTCTCAGTCTAAAGTGCAAATGTAACGTAGGTAACGTCAAAAGTGCCTTCAAACGTCAAAGACTTCAAATATAAAAGGTAGCATCAAGAGAGCCAATCTAATGAGTTGATCATATGACTGAGCGTTAATGACTTGATGGGGTATGCGATAAATGTTAACTTTAACTGTAGGCTCATTGTCATGAAAACGTTAAGATTTCGAACATCGGAAGCTATTTATAAGATTTAAAAAAGGCCTCAGTTATTCAAATAGGTGTACAAAATGTGTATAAAAATTAATAAGTCTCTCTCTCTCTCTCTCTCTCTCTCTCTCTCTCTCTCTCTCTCTCTCTCTCTCTCTCTCTCTCTCTCTCTCTCTCTCTCTCTCTCTCTCTCTCTCTCTCTCTCTCTCTCTCTCTCTCTCTCCCTCTCTCTCTCTCTCTCTCTGCTCCGTTGTGTAAAAGATAATTCATATCATCTCAAATCCATGTTTCTTTTCAGCGTATCTTCCTACCTCAGTAGGCGAAAAAACAAGGTAAGTTCATTCAGCGATTGCGCGATGATAAAAGCACGTAAATTATTTCTACTTATTATAGTAAACAATCATTCCTTGCTGGTACTAATTTCACTGCTATATGCAATTCATCACCACACTTTCCTAAGCTTTACACTGACTATCGTAAGCCCTAAATAAGAGGATACATACCTAAGAATAAAGCTGTTCCACTTATCACGCGGCCCGTCACGTAGCTAACTGGAATGGTAGGCTGTGCCGCATGGCACGCAGGCTCACCGGCACAGCCTATCACTGAAAACGGGCGTTCGTGCGTAGAACTAGACACGTTTCGTTATGATGTGGGATGAATGCAAGTGCAGAGTGATGTTTTCAGTGACTTGGTTCTCAAGTAGGCGTAGAACCTTATTTTACAGTAATGTAGTTTTTATATCATTGTTTTGTGTACGGCCACGAATGGGACTCTTTCATTATTTTACGGTAACAGATGGCAGTAAATTCACTGTTATATCTTCTGCCATACCTATCCGACTTATTCTGAAAAGTACTGACTTGTCTGGTAAACATGACTGACTTTTCAAAGAAAAATGAATTCCGTCACGATAGGACCTGATTGATCTTCAGAAAACCAGTTACCTTAGGAAAGAGCGTTATTTGATGACCTTTACCCTGACCTGACCTGACCTGACTTGAACTGACCCCCAGAGATCCCGCCGACGCCGAGCAGAGAACTGGGAGCTGACTGAGACGAGACGGATCATTCCGGAGGACACTGACGTCACTGATACGTCAGAGATGACGTCACATATGACGTCACATGTGATGGACCCGGCGCTTCTAGCCAGGTAAATATGCACTGAAATGTGTGCGTCCATCAGCACAATGATATTGTGTATAAACAATAATTGATAAAACAAAATTTTAACATAATACAAAAAAAAACAATATAATTACGCTACATATCAACAAACCTTAACCCTATTAGTGGCAGGCTCCTGGCTACCCCTATTAGTGGCAGGGGGGGGGGGGCTGTTTACGACCCCCCCTTGATATCTCGAGATCTAACGGGCCGATTTTCAAAATTCAAACGGCATTCGATTCCGCTGAACGTGATCTACATTTCTAAAAAATAAAAATTAAAAAATGTCAATAGGGGGGTAGAGGGGGGTAAAAACGGGCAAATTGCAGATACATTTTAGACTGTTTATCACGGCCAGGTTTCTGAACCAATCTTAACGCAACTTTTGCCGATCGATAGAGAATGAACCAGGAATTCACATGGATCCTAAAAATATGCATTTTCAAAAATCATAGGCGGATACAGATCATTGAGATTTGGGGTACACAAAAAGTATAGTAAATAAGGTTTTTGTTGGTACTGTTTCTAAAAAGGGTGGTAATGGTCTTGTTATGTTACAATTTTCTTATGACAGAGCGACTACAATTGTATTGGTCATGCATAGGCGGTGTCAGGGCACCTATGTTGGGAGGTAAAACATAGCCCCCCTTTTTGGACGCCTGGATCCGCCTATTATAGCAAAAACGTGTCAAAGGAGGATGCAAAATAACTTTGTATATGTTATCACATGATACCTTTCATTCACTGTTCGTAAAACTGGTGCAGCATCGTGATCTTCGCCCAAATGACTCGCTTCACGAATAGGACCCCCAATTCCCAGTGCTCTGGAGCCGCCCCTGGTAAAGTTATGAACTTGAAATTTTTAGGGAATGTGCCCAATTTAGTTTTAGGAAAAGTCAGAAAATTTCAGCATCGTAGCTTCAGCGGTTTCGGAGATATTCCCGAAAAACCTGAGGGGTGGATGAAAACAACCCCCCCTGCCACTAATAGGGTTAATAAAGGTGGAAGTAAAGCCATACAATCATTGAACACTGTAGTGTAGGCAGGAAAATATCACAATGAAAAAGAAAATGAATAGGATAACATAAATAAAAACAAAAAAGTAAGCGCGACAAACCCAAATCGCTTACACTATATGTCATGCACCATGTCATTGCCCTCAATGATGTGACATATCACCAACCACCATGCCAGTGTCCTCAATGATATGACATATCACCAATCACCATGTCAGTGTTCTCAATGATAACAATGTCACCGACTACCATGTCAGTACGTAGTCTCACTTATATAACATATCACCAGCGACAACCATATCAGTTTTGTCAATAACACCCCACCACCCTCTTTCTTCCCCCAGCCGTCTGACATCAGGACCTCCCCGAGACATCTCTCAGCCCCAGCGACTCGGTCTATGGGGTCGACTCAGCCGCTCCGTGTCCTCACTAGCCTCTTCTGGGGGTGTGTTAGAAAGTCCAGGAGCCGCCCGACGAAATGGATCAAAGTGGACCATGGATAGTTGTGAGCTGGAGTGGGACGCGGAGGGGACAGGTGAGAGTGAGAGAGAGAGGGAGGGAGTGATGGGAGAGAGAGAGGGAGAGAGAGAGGGAGGGAGAGAGAGGGAGGGACGGAGACAGGTGGGGAGGTAGAGAGAAAGTGTGAGAGAGAGAGAGAGAGAGAGAGAGAGAGAGAGAGAGAGAGAGAGGGAGAGGAGGGATGGAGGGAGGGAGGGAGAAATGGGGATGGGAGGGGAGGAAGGAAGAAGGAATTAACTAGTGAGGGAGAGGGAGAAAGTGAAAGAGATAATAGAGACTAGAGAGAAAGAGGAAGAGAGAGAAAGAGGGAGAGAGAAAGAGAGGAAGAGAGAGAGAGACAGAGGGAAAGATTGAGAGAGAGAGAGAGAGAGAGTGAGAGAGAGAGAGAGAAAGAGAGAGATAGAAAGAGAGAGAGGGACAGACAGACAGACAGACAGACAGACAGACAGACTGACAGACAGACAGACAGACAGACAGACAGACAGACAGACAGTCTACAGACAGACAGTGAGGGAGAGTACAAGAGAGAGAGAGAGAGAGAGAGAGAGAGAGAGGGAGAGAGAGAGAGATAGAGAGAGAGAGAGAGAGAGAGAGAGAGAGAGAGAGAGAGAGAGAGAGAGAGAGAGACAGAGAGAGACAGAGAGAGAGATGGCGTACTAATTGCTGTTACGGATGTTAGCCCGCGCCCCGCTGGGGGGGGCAGAATCTGCCCCCCTCCCGTTTTTCGCCAATAACTTCTAAACGCGTTACGCCAGCGACGTCAAACTTTCAGTACCTTATCATACATCAATTTGACACGTTCCCTGAAAAATTGAGCAAAATCCGTCGGAAAATTTTTGAGAAATTGACGTTTTAGTGACGTCATGTTCGCCATTTTCGCCTCAAAAACGGCAAAATTTCAAACGCCGCTAACATCTTCATTTTTAAAGGAATCAAGACGTAACAAAAAAGGTTATACTCGATTCTATTTTGTCTATCAAATGGCTATCTCGGTTTTTGGAAAATTTTGGATTTTGGCCAAAATTTTTTCCAAAAAACTGACTTTTTTGAGAAAATATTTATAAAATCCAAAATTTTGAGTTTATCGAAAAAACCGGAATATATGTCAAAGACGTGGTCTATGTGCACCTACATACCAATTTTTAGAAGAATCGGTTCAAAAATGTGGGAGTTATTCAAAATTTTATGACGTCACGACACACAAAAAATTTGAAAAATGATTTTTTTGGAAGTTCTAGACCTCGTACGGAAACAAAAATAGCACCATTCGATTCGCCGTGAAAAACTGCATCGAATAGACACCTTTTTAGGCCTTAACAACCAACTTCAAAATTTGACCTCACTTGACCTGACCTTGACCTGACCTCGACCTGAAATTCATCCAGAGGTGGTCCATATCACTTATTGAGTGTGCCTATTGAATTCCATGAGTAAAATGACCCATAAAACATGTGTCGCACATGCCCTTTTCTATATTTTGTTTTTGGTGACCTGACCTGACCTTGACCTTGACCTTTGAATGACATTGTGTGCAATGAATATTGTCTTGGTAATCTAAGAACACGTTTTGGGCAATCAGTCTCAGTCCATTCTTCGGCAACTACGGTGCAAGGCCGATACTGTAGAAACTTGTATTTTGTACCCTTGACCTGACCTTGACCTGACCTCTGACCTACTTAAGCAAAAAAATTTGGGCTCTTAAGATCCGCCTTGTTGAGAGCTTTCGATTGCCGTTTTCCCCGTCTTTCTACGACCATCGGTTCGGAAGTTAGACAGGGGGGCAGAATCTGCCCCCCCCCCCCCCCAGCAGGGCGCGTATGGCTGAATAGCCCAGCGGGGCGCGGGTTAGAATTCCTTTTATAGCGCGTGAATGAAGCGAAGTTTTAGACACCGTGTATTTCTAGGTTCTAGGTAGGTTACATGCCTAGTGTGCCTTCAGGTCTTTCCCAATTTCTCTGTCCTGTGTCCCCAGATCTATAGGCTGAGTCTCCAGGTATTTGGCCTGTACCTGTACCTAGCTGTCTTTCTTGTGTCTTTAGTCTTATACACTCGTATTGTGTCTTCATTTTGCTATCCGTATCCCCTGGTGTCTGCCTTGTTTATCAAGTTTTATTGCCCGTTATCCCAAATGATCCTGTTTTCTCCAATAGTATCTGCAACATGACTCTATAGTTTTATGCTTCGTGTCTCTAGATTTATACGTATGTCCCCCCGTTCTATGTCCTATATGTCCAGATTTATACCGTAAGTGCTCACTTGTGTCCTACATCCCCATCTTTATCCCCCATTTCTCCAGAATTATACCATATGTCTCCAGATTTATACTCCAATTTATACCCCAAATTATATCTGCAGGTCTGTGTCCCCGTTCGGTGGCACAGTCTGAACCGGACCAGATGTCCTGTGGTGACGTCACAGTACCCTCACAACGTCAGTCTCCAGTCGCCAGTCTAGACTGGGATTCTCAACTAGACACTGGGCCTCTACTAGCTGGTGCCGAGCCGCCGCTGCCGCAGCCAGCGTCTTGCGGAAGAATGACAACAAGTGATGTGGATAATGGTAATTTTGCTGGTGACGTCATGTCGGATGATGAGACAGAACAGCTGATTGGTCAGATCGAGGCGATGACGCAGAGGACGTTGGCTGAAACGGGATCGGTGATTGGTTTTATTGATGAGACGTGAACTGTGATTGGATGTTGTGGGGGAGAATGTGCTGTGATTGGTTGTCGGGTGTTTTGAGGTTTGTGAAAGCCACGCCCACTTGGGAGTTGATTAGTGATTGGCTGGATGTCAAGAACGACTTCTCTGATTGCCTGATGCGTGTCTAGTTAATGTCTGTAACATGTGACTGTAACTCAATATTTCAATACTCTGCTATCAGTAACTTAAAGGGACCCTCCCACCTTCAAAAAGTTAATGAATTGGCAAGAAAGTGATGTCGCTCGGTTCGGAAAGAGCGAAAACGAATATCTACCAAATTTCATCGAAAAATATTCACCGGTTTTCAAGATATTAGGCTTTTACTCTTGTTTACTTTTTGGGATCTCCGCTGTTCCTAGCGACTTTATTTGAAAGTGCGGCACTTGTTGTTCGCAAAACGGCATATACCACCGCGTGCTACCAAACGTTTTAGTAAAATATTTAAAATCGTTAGATCTCCGCTGACGTCACAAATTCTAAGGGGGCATTCCGATGCATAAGCCCCTTAGAATCCGAAAACTGCAAGTTTGAAATTCCATATCTCCGAGTTAAAGCATTTTTCGCTGTTGTGAGTGCCCAAACCGGTATTTCAGGCTATGGCCACCAATTTGGCTATCTCAACTCAAAACTAATGTTAAGGTGGGATGGTCACTTTAAATACTAATGTGCGTTTTCTATGTTTACCTTAGTAACCTGGTCGATGAATGACAGCTTTGTGGTCTTACCATGCCTCGCAGGTAATGCCAATTCAAATACAACATAATTAAACCTGAAACATCGTAAAATTGTTTTATTTTGTAATTGTATTGCCCTTGTCTGTGATGTAGGGAAAATCATGCCAAGCTCTTTGTAGTTTTAGAAGGAAAACAATGTGTTCACGTTTTGTACCGAAGCGTTAAGCCTTAATCATCATTGAACCCCCCCCCCCAAAAAAAAACAAGCAAAAGTTGTGTTTTTTTTTCGTTTACGGTATAGGTAACGTATCATCGAATATATATCAGTGTCTTTACATGTGCCGTGGAGAGCGAAATATATCATTGCTCGTTTACATATCATCATATGTTTGATGTTCTTGGCTTGGTTTGGTACATACCAAGCATACATATACGAATAAATATAAATGTTGGTAGTTGCTCATGAGATACGCCGCATGTAAAATCCGTAGCGCGCAAAAGATGATCCATACCTCGCTTCAGTGTGGCTTGTTTATTTTTTGCAAAGCCGTGAATGTCTCGAATATATTGATATCAGGCGATTGTAAAACCATAACGTAACATAAGCTCCTTTGAGTAGCCAAACCTTTTTTATTTATTTTTTTAATGTTTATGTCCTATAATTGCATAATTGAGGTGTTATTAGATGGCGCCCTCAAAAGAACATCTAACATGCTAGTTGGTTCAGTGTAGTTGCTCTATAAATTAGAACGGCCGTTAAATTATATGATTTATCTTCTACAAGGATTGTCAGCCACTTGGCAGATGTGTTTTAGTGAAATACAAAACAAAAAGAAAATGGCGGCTTGTAAAGGCCGGAACACAGCTTTTAAGCTCGCAAATCGCGTCTCGCTTTTCCCATTGCAATACATGGCATATTTTCAGCTCCCAACACGCAGGTCGTCTCGCTTTTACGCCGCGAAATCACGCCGGATCCTGCTCGGAAAACGCGAGCAAATCGCGAGCGAAACGCAAGCAAAATCAGTCCGGCGCGATTTGCAAGCTGAAAAGTTGAATCTGTTTCAACTTTTCAGCTTCTCTGCTCGCGAAATGCAAGCGTAATAGCGTCAGTAACCATGGAAACCAAATAAAGCACTTTGGTTTACGGCAATTTTAACTAAATACTGACGTGGCCTCCTACTTTCAGCACATCGGTATTCATTTGATTGACAATTTTATACGTACAACGTATTAAATTGTTTAGTTTTTATATTTCGATGTTTCAAAACATCTTAAACGTATCTTGTACTGCGGTCAACATAAAATGAGGAATCCGTGGATTTTTTTCTTCTCAAAAATCTCCCCTTCGTAATTTTCTTCAATATCGGTAAAACATAAATTTGATTAGAAAATGGTAACTTTTACTTCCGCTCGAAAAATTATATACCTGGCATGTAGAATTCGGGCTGTGGACAGATTTTGACATTGTGGTCCCATTGCTTAGGATGTTCAGCGTTTTCAAGAGTAATTTCATGTATTTCCGTAAAACCATAACTACTTTGTAGACAAAACTTTTCAGTGTGGCAATGTCGGGTAATTTTGCCGGTGCTAGTGGAACAGCTTTGACGGTGCTCTCAGGATCGCTATGCTGGAACGGCCGACTTGATAAGCAGTAGCGGCGAAACACCCTCAATTAACCCGCGCGGGGCTGGGGGGGGGGTAAATTTTACCCCCCCTCGCGAATTTTTGCGATATCTCAAAAACGGCGGCGCGCAGCGCCGCCAAACTTTCAGTACCTTTTCTTACATCAATTTGACACGTTCCCTGAAAATTTGAGCGAAATCCGTCGGAAATTTTTTGAGAAATTGACGTTTTAGTGACGTCATGTTCGCCATTTTTGCCTCAAAAACGGCAAAAGTTCAAACGCCGCTAACATCTTCATTTTTAAAGGAATCAAGACGTAACAAAAAAGGTTATACGTAATTTTACTTTGTCTATCAAATAGCTCTCTCGGTTTTTTGAAAATTTTGGATTTTGGCCTAATTTTTTTCAAAAAACTGATTTTTTTGGGAAAATCATTATAAAATCCAAAATTTTGAGTCTATCGAAAAAAACCGGAATATATGTCAGAGAAGTGGTCTATGTGCACCTAAATACCAAATTTTAGAAGAATCGGTTCAAAAATGTGGGAGTTATTCAAAATTTTATGACGTCACGACACACAAAATTTTTGAAAAATGACTTTTTTGGAAGTTCTAGACCTCGTACGGAAACAAAAATAGCACCATTCGATTCGCCGTGAAAAACTGCATCAGATAGACACCTTTTTAGGCCTAAACAACCAACTTCAAAATTTGACCTCACTTGACCTGACCTTGAACTGACCTCGACCTGAAATTCATCCAGAGGTGGTCCATATCACTTATTGAGTGTGCCTATTGAAATCTATGAGTAAAATGACCCATAAAACATGTGTCGCACATGCCCTTTTCTATATTTTGTTTTTTGGTGACCTGACCTGACCTGACCTGACCTTGACCTTGACCTCTGAATGATATTGTATGCAACGAATATTGTCTTGGTAGCCTAAGAACACGTTTTGGGCGATCAGTCTCAGTCCATGACTCTATTCTTCGGCAACTACGGTGCAAGGCCGATACTGTAGAAACTTGCAATTTGTACCCTTGACCTGACCTTGACCTTGACCTCAAACTTTAAATTAAGTACATGTTTTTAGTAGTTCGTGATGAGAGCTTTCGATTGGCGTTTGAATTATCCAAATCGGACCATTAGTTCGGGAGATAACAGGGGGGGTAAAATTTACCCCCCCAGCCCCGCGCGTTCGGCTGGAGACCCCAGCCCCGCGCGGGTTAAGGGGGGGCACTGCCCATTCTTTCCATGCAACACCCATAGGACTAATGTTGAAATGGCAAAATCAAGGAGGCAGGGATGTGTGATTTAGCAGTGTATGCTAAGGAAGCGCAAGCGCAGGAAAATGCCTGAGTCAAAATCATAAGACCTGAGTCAAAACCATTCGAAGATAAGTCTGACATCGAGTCAGCCTAAAAATGCGTAAAGGACACATGTCATTGCTGGCGCTGAAGCTGACTTGCCCGTAACATAAAATCCAGGCCTCAAATTAACACCGGCCAAATTGCTCTACCCCACCGGCCAAATAACCCTGCTAGCGGGGCAATTCAGCCGCTTTGCAGATCTTTGTAGAACGACAAAATTCAGGCATAAGTGGCTGCTCTATCATTTTCTGCTTGCTGTATTAGAAAGTAAAATGAATGCTACACCTGCCAGCCTTGAGAGAGTGCAGAAGTATGTCGTGTGACTGAGAATGACTGACTGACCTGAGAAGGTAAAACTGGGTATCATTGGATTTGTCTCTTCCCAAAGAATCTTTTTGGTCTCTACCGCGAAGCTCTAGGTATCTCCAACAGGAACGAAATGGCGCGGGAGGATGGTAACCCCCCCCCCCCATGTGCGTTCTAGGATGGGAAAATGACATGTGCGGGCGAGGGTTAAGTATATCCTGCGATTTGCATAACGCAAAAGGAGAAACATGTAGTTTACTTACGGATAGTAATCGAATTGGATTATTAGATTGAATGAATTGCTAGATTAGATTGAACGATAACAGTTGTTATATTTGCAAGAGCGGTGTTGTATTCGTTTGAAAAACTTCTGAACAACCGATTGTGGCCATGATACGTGGCAAAGAAATACTAACTAAAATACTAAAATTGACTGAACAAATTATAGTTAAATCTCTGCTTTTTTGTAAAGTGTCTGTAATTTAACCATGTTTGAAGTGTACGATGAATATATGTTCTATTTTACGTTAAGTTCCAATGTGGCATGATGATTGTTGAACGTTCATTGTGACATATATGAATAGATAAGTGAAACTTTTTTAAATATAAAGGTACTGTATTATAGAAAGCCTTCGCAAACGCGTTTCGAATATCGTACCGGGACGGCTGGGACCACTTCTGCGCCTGCCATCTATCGGGCAGTGTTTGGAACTACAGCGGGCGCCGGCCGGCCGCGCCGCGCGGCGCCGTTACCGGGCTATGGAGGCGAATGAAGTGGTGTAGAACCAGACGAATTTTACGCTTGTAAAGCAAAAAACGAAAAATGTACACTCACCACAGTGTTCAGCAAAGTACTGGGAACAATATGGATATAATTTAACCCGCGCCCTGCTGGGGGGGGGGGGTGTTTGAACACCCCCCCTGTGGTTTTTCGCGAATATCTCAAAAACGGCGGCGCGGAGCGCCGCCGTTTTTGGTATACCTTATCACACATCAATTCTACACATGTTCTGAAAATTTCAGACCAAGGTCATTCAAGGTCAGGTCACCAGGTCACTTGAAGTGACCTCACCTCATAAAAAGTTTCAATGTCTGCCATAGCTACACCGAGTGACCGATCGCTTTGAAACTTTCAGCGATTGCTAAGAGCAATAGCATGTACAAAATGTATATCTCAGAATTTTGATATCGATGACCTAAGGTCAGGTCAATTTTGCGACCTCCCCATTATGAGTCAATGGGAGAAAATTGAAAGGCGCTTTTTTTGGATGAAAGCCATTATAAACACTCCCAAACACTGAATAACAAGTAACTAAGACACACTGAACATGAAAATGGTATCTGTGACCTCTGTGTATGCCCCTGAGGTCATCTCAGGTCACGGATGGTATCTAACAGTTTTTCGCGAATAACTTTTGATAGAGGCATGCTAGAGCGATGAAAACGCCTTGGATGTGTTCAGCTCGACGATACGGATCGACTGATATGCAACATGACCCTTTCCGGTCAGGTCATGACCTTGACCTGAGGTCAAATTTTCAAGTTGACCTTTCAAGGTCAACTTACAGTTCATTCGATGCGTCTTGACGAGAGGAACACGATGCCGGTAAAAGTAAGCTCGTGCAAGGCCTGGGTCAAAAGTTATTGCAGAAAAACTGTTTTCGAAAAAAATCGGCTATTTTGGCAGTTTTTGCCCCCTGCAGGCAAAACCGTTGACGATAGGTCAAATCTGAGAGAATTACTCAGAAAGAGCGTTAATAGGGCTATCGAATGCGCTTTTCCGCGGCGCTGTAGCTCTATTGGTTCCCGAGTTATGCGTTGGCTTCTTGGAAATTGTCGACATTCGACCTGAAAATCGGCGAAATTTTGCCTTCAATGACCTCTGGTG